GAGGAACAGCAGCGGCAGCAGCAGCGCCAGAACCTCTGAGAAGAGCTCCGGGAGATGCTCCGAGAGGAGCTCCGGGAGCAGCAGCGGGAGATGCTCCGGGAGGAGCTCCGGGAGATGCTCCGGGAGATGCTCCGGGAGCGCGCGGGCAGCGCCGCCTGGCGGTATCCGCTGGGAACTGCTGCCCGCGCTGTGCCTGGCGCTGACTCTCTAACTGATTCTACCCGCACGGGCACTGCCACTCTCCCCAGGGGCCGAGGCCTCCTGAAGGCTGCCAACGCCTCTCTCTCCCGGCTGAAGGTCTGGCAGGGCTCGGGAGGGGAGCGAGATGGGAGGGAGGGATGGATGGTGAGAGGGTATGGGTGGTGAGGGGGCAGTGGTGGTACCCAGGAGGGCAGTGATGGAGCAGTGTTGTACGCAGGGGGTGGTGATGAGGCAGTGGAGGTACTACGAAGGCACTGGAGGTACCCGGGAAGGCAGTGACAGGGTGGTTGTGGTAGCCAGGAGGGTGGTGATGGGGCAGTGAAGACACCCAAGGAGAGTGGTGATGGGTTGGTGAAGGTACCCAGGAGGGTGATGATGGGGCAGTGAAGACACCCAGGAGGGTGGTGATGGGGTGGTGAAGGTACCCAGGAGGGTGGTGACGGAGCAGTTGTAGTACCTGAGTAGGCAGCGCTAGAGAGCTGGTGGTACCCAGGCAGGTGATGAAGGTACCCAGCTGGGCAGCAGGAAGTTGCTGAAGGTATCCAGGAGGGTGGATGCTCCCTGTAGTCTCCCTTTAAGCCTCTATCACTGGCCACTGCTCTCATGCCTGCTCTGCCCAGCCCTTTAGGATGAGGGTTTGCTCAAATTTTCTTCCTTTTATTGCTAAAATTCCGTACTGTTGTTGCAAACTTCATCTCAGAGAACCCCAAAACCCCCAGCATCAACTAGGTGTGCTGTTTCTCACTTGCATTGGGCACTGGTGGTATTTGCTATTTTGACTTTTCTAAGAGGTAATTTACATTTGATACCAGAGTGAGAGTTCTTAATAGATTCAGTGTCTGAAGCAACAATTTAAAGTAATGGAGACAAAGCAGTTTCTAACAACATCTAAAGCAAATCTGTGCAAAGCCTGAGCTTATTACATCTTATAAAAGATATTTCCTATCTTTTATATTTAACCAAAGTCCTCACACAGCCTCAATTCCAAGCACAGGCAGCTGGGAAGTATCACATATTACTGTGTTTATTTACAGATACCAATAGATATGTATTATATATGTATAAATGGTACCATGAAGTTGAATCAATGACCCTTTTTATTCCCTCTTTAACACAGGAACTTGGCATTCTGGGATTTGACTGTACCTTTGAAGAGGTTGATCTTGAAGATATCACTAAGAATCAAATTAACACAATCAAAGCTTGTACAGCTGAGGAGAAGGTAAAATATATATAGAAATATATGGAGAATTAACATTTCAGCTTCATATTTTCCTGGAACAGATAGATAATTCACACTTCTATTAAATCACTAAGTCTTATTTCTTCTTTAATTTGCAGCCTGGAAACTGTCCAGTATTGGAAGGATCAACTTTGGATATGGTAAATTGCAAGTCTCCCCAAAAGAACCCTTTTCTTTTCTTGTTGTTTAAATGGCCTACCAACAGATTCCTAATCCTTGTGGTTTTCACAGAGCAAGTGCCTGCAGGGCATCTATGAGGATCTCAGTGCCTACAGGGCAGAGCTGAAAAACTTCGATGACCTAAAGGTGTTGACAAGCATTGATAAAATGATGGAGGTAAGTGTTTGTGCCTCTTTCCTTTCCTCAGGTAGCTCAAAGCCCAAGTAAAACCAGAGGAAAAGGGACTCAGCTCTGTTTCTCTTCCAAATATTGAGCTATAACTCACCAGGGGGACTAAAGGGGTAATGGATTCAAACTGAAGGAGGGAAAGTTTAGGTTAGATATTAGCAAAACGTTTTTTACTATAAAGGTGGTGAGAGACTGGCACGGGTTGCCCAGGGAGGCTGTGGCTGCCCCAACCCTGGCAGTGTTCACAGCCAGGTTGGCTAAAGCCTTGAGCAACCTGTTCTGGTGGGAGGTGTCCCTACCCAGGGCAGGGGGTTGGGACTGGATGATCTCTAAGCTCCATTCCAACCCTTAAATTCTATTATTCTAAATATGACACAGGATGGACTGAACTTTGATCAGTGTTAGTGAGGAGAGGGAAGAGATGTTAATAGATGTTGATTGCTTAATAAATTCTAAGCAATCCCATCCATTAATTGGCCTTTTTATTGGTTCAGCATCTCCCACCACCCTGGGGATCCTCCTGGTGGCCAAGTCCAGGCTAAAGGGTCTTTAGCCCAAGCTGAACATGAGCTTAGTCTCAAAAGCATCTTCATTGCTGGGCAGGAAGAGCCTTTGAGCTGTTTGTGTCTTAGGGCAAGTTTTGCTGTGCAGCCTCAGGGTTAGTGATATTAATTAGATCTTTATTTCACATTTTTATCCTGAGTCTATTCATGATATTGTGAAATATTTCAGGTCTTCTCCTCAGTCTATTAATAAAAGCATTAAATGTTTGAAAATTTATCCTGTCAATTAATTCTAACATCAAATAGTTCACATTTTATCCTATTAATAATAGGAATATTTCGAAGTTTATCCTGTCTATTAATTATAGCAGTAACTAGTTCCAATTTCATCCTATTAATAACATCGATAAATATTTCAAATTTGATCCTATTAATATCATTAAATAGTTCACATTTTATCCTATTAATAGAATTAAATATTTCAAAATTTATCTTATTAATGATCTCATTCGAGTTCACATTTTATCCTAAGTCTATTAATGGCACAATTAAAAATTCTATTTTTATCCTATTAATAATATAAGAAATATTTCAAAAATTATA